AATCCGTATTTCGGATTCGGATCGGATTCGGATCAATCCCGGATCAACCGGGATTATTAATCCGTTTTGGAACACTATCCATACGTTAATTAAATATTAATTATTTTAGATATAATTTAATTTAATTCATGATCCGCTTGGGAGCCAATGAAAAATCAGGTGATTTTTTGTGATTTTAACTTTATGTTATCAATATTAATTATAATTTTTACCTATTCATACATATCATTATTAACTATTTATTATTACGACTGATTATGATTCACATGATTCACATATACAACATGGAAGACTATTCTGAAGTTTAAATTCTGTCGATCAAGTTTGCTTTACTATGTAAAAAATTTGATGTAATAAGTAATCGTACATATAAAAATTACCCATCCCTATGTCTAACCTATTTTTCCACTATCGCGATTCTTTTTAAGTTTCTGCCCAATTCAAATATCCCATTTAAATCTATCGTTACATATGTACAATTTAATAATTTTCAATGACTGTAAGTAACATTGACTCTATTTTATGGAAAATAAAATTTTAAAATCGTCCACACAGTGTCTGAAATGGAGTTTTTGAACTACAACAAAATTATAAACAATTATTTAAAGGCATTCTTAAATAGTAAAGTGATTTAATTGTGTACCCAAGAATTTGAATTTTACATAAAAGTCCGTCAATGAGCACGCATTTCATTCATTACAGTTGGTGGTACAAATTAGTAAGAGTAAAACGCACGTACGTATTGAAGGGACTAACGATGCTAAAAATAAGTGTCGCATTCAATAATTTATGAAAAATCAAGTTTTTTTTAATAGATTACGGCGCGTGACAATTAAATTTTTGGCATCTGTAGCCCCATCACTATACTTACGTATTGATAGTTTTAATAAATAAATGGATAAATTTGTTTTTTTTTTTTATTTGTTTATGGTTATTATTAAAACGTACATGGTATAATTACATCGATAACAATAATGAATAAAACTAACAAGGCTTCTCAGAAATTTAACATAGAAGGGTGTTTGATGAAGTTCTCCAGAGTATTTCATTTTCAAACACCTTAATTACATTATGTTAGGTATATTGTAATTTAAAATCATTTTTACAGTATTTTGTCAGACATGTGAATTGAGAATTTTACCTTCTTTTACACTATAATAGATTTTGCCACTGAACGAGCTGTTGCGATTGATGCAGTTTTACATGCTATTAAAATTTGTCAAAAAGTTCTTAACAACCTTCTAACAAATGATACTGTTATTAAAAAAGATAAATCACCTACAACAAGTATTTAAAGAAATATTTGAATTTATTATTTATTTCTAATATATATTATTTCTGTAAATTAATTAATATTTTCACTTCATATTTATAAACTTGCAGATTTTAGTGCACAAGTTGTTATAAACACAATTATATAATTCTTTTCCAAATGATTCAATTATTGGAGAAGAGAACTCGAAAAAATTACAAGGGGATAGTGAAGAAAAAATAGAATTGAGAGATAAAATTTTAACATTGGCTAACTCCGTGTTAGATACTTCTTTGAATGAAAAAGAGTTTGATACAATATCTCACATATCAATACCCTGTTTTAATTTAATTATTCTTTATTGATTAATTTAAATGATAGCTATTAGACGCTATTGACAGAGGAACTTACACTGGTGGCCCACATGGAAGTTAATATTACAATCAATTTCGCAAATTTTTTTCATTTTTAATTACTTAATTAAAATAACTTTGTACTAGGAATGTGGACTATTGATCCGGTAGATGGAACCAGGGGTTTTATTCGCGGAGGTTATTATGCAGTGGGAATATCATTGATTATCGATGGTGATGTTCATCTCAGTGTTATAGGATGCCCAAATTTTCCGGTAGATTTTAAAGCGCCAGAAAGTGAAAAAGGATGCATATTTATTGCTGTTAAGGGACAAGGTGCTTTTCAGGTAAATCTTGATTGTTCTCTGCTTTACATTTTATATTTCAGAATTTTATTTAATTTCATCTTTCTAAACACAAATAATAGCGCAAGTTCTCCTCAATTAAAGAAACGCAAATCCATGTGATTGACATTATACATCCATCAGAAGCTTTATTTTGTGAATCCTTTGAGGCTGAACATTCCTCACATGAAGATAGTGCAAGCATTGCATCATTGCTTAAGATTACAAAGCCTCCTCTTCGCATGGATAGTATGTGTAAATATTGCGCTGTTGCTAGGGGTGACGCTGATATTTATCTGAGACTGCCTCCCGCTAATTTTGAGATGCCAATTTGGGTATATATAATTAGTAATTGTAACATCTTTTATTATTATATGTGCAGTCGTAAATGTTTATCTTTTTTAATTAGGATCATGCACCAGGATATCTTCTCTTTAAGGAAGCAGGGGTACAGTTTCAGATATGGATAATAAATCTTTGGATTTCACTTTAAGTAGAAAATTGAAAGCTAACAGGGGTATTGTGGTTGCGAGTTCTAAACTACATGAACAAATAGTTTGCGCAAAGCAGCACAAGAAGGAATGATAGAAAAAATAATAAAATGGTTTAAAAAGTCTTTTAGCGTTAACAATTTTTAGATATTGAAGATTGAGGCTAAGATTTAAGCTGAAGCTGCACTTCTGATTAGTTAATTTCGGTATCAGTCATGTTCCGTGATGTTATTTATAGACGAAAATAATTCTCACGACAAGAGACATATTATTTTTATATTTCTTGTATAAATATAAGAAATACGTCAACGAGATTAATTCCAAATTTGATCATCTTTTTTATTATTTATTTATTTATCTTTTAAATTTTTTTTTTTATTATAGTAAATTATTAATATTTTTTTTTATATGGAGTTTACTAAAACGCCTCTATGGTGTTTTACACCTATGTAACGCCTCTATGGTGTTTTACACCTATGTATGTGTTTTCTCAAAAACTGGCTAATTAATCGGCATAAAGTATATGTTCTATGGCCTAAAAAACCCTTCCCAAACTCTAATCCTAACCCTAATACTAGCCCTAACGTGAAAAAATTTGTATTAAAAATTATATATATAAAACTTATAAAAACTTAGAAAAATATAAGAAAAATATATTATATAGTATGTTTTATAATAATTGTTAATATATATATATATATCACACTATTGTTTAAATACATCATTCTTAATTTAGCTTGGAATTTACAAACTTCGATGAATTGCTACCAATCTTACACATAATTATATTAATAACATGATGTTTATTAAATATAAAGGTATTTAATTTTAGCAGACCATATATGTACAACTTTTTACTGAGTGTGGATTAAACAAATTTTATAAAAATATAGATTTTAGATATTGTTACTGCATTTATTTCAATTACTATTGTTATTTCATTTGTGAAAAAATCCAGGTCAACATTGGAGTGATAAAAAGGTTTTGCCTTTTTTTCTTTTCGTTTTTGCTTGATTTTTTACCGACTAGATGAATTGATAATCGTCAAAACACAAGTGAGACCGTTTCAAATATGGATAATGTAGATTCTTATTGAATCAAATTTTAGGGGTTTAATATTCACCAACAATTATATCACGTGCATGCAGTTCTGCACCAAATCTGTGAACAATGGAATTTATTAACATGGATAATGATATTAGGGAAAAATTAGCCCAAAATCTGTTCGCATTCAAATTTAATATTGTACGATTATTTTTTAGTCTATCGATGTTAGGAGAAGCACTAATTTCTCCCCACTTCTGAATGGATGTTAGCCCTGATTGGACAAAGTTGATTACGCCATCTTTCAACTACCAATTAAATTAAAAGATCCAGTGTAACATAAAATGATAAAATAAATCAAAGTTTTCAAAATCACCGGTAACCCAAAATTTGATTATGAAACCCACCTTTGTATCTTAAAAAAAAAACTCTTTGCAAAATTTTAGTAATATTTGTGCATTATTTAGCCTTAGTAATAACACGAAAAATCACTTTATTATTTTTTAATATTGTTTTTTTTTTTTAGTTTTCAGATATAAATTTCTAATCAATTTCGTCTAGTCTATACCCAAATATGGTTGATCAGTATAAAAAAGATGTATGCAAGACTTACTGCAGTACGTAGGCTATTTAGCACTTAACAGAAAATATCTTTATATGTAGTATATTAGATGGTTTAAAATCAGTATTACAATATTAGAGCTGCGAATTTTTATCTTTACTGAACAATATTACAACAAATGTCTAATAGTATACTCACAAATTTCCGTTATCTAGTTGAAATTATTTTTTTGCTTACATTGTATGCACTAGTGAATTATTATATATTCTTACGTGCTTACGTACGTGGTGTATGCCATCTATTCTCTTGTGTTCTTTCACCCTTATTCTATCAGTTTCCTACGCATGTGGTTAAAACTTTTTCGACTTTTTGGCATACTATTTTGGCTCATGTCAAAACTGTGTCAAAGCTAGCCGAAACAGTTTCAATCACAGAATTTTATATCGTTACTGAACGAATACAACAAATATTTAATAGTATACTCATAAAATTCGTTTATCTAGCTGGGATTATTTTTTGGCTTACATTGTATGCATTAGTGAATTATTCTATGATCTTACGTGCGTACGTACGTTATGTATATCAACTATTCTTTTATGTTCTCCCGTCTTTATTATGCTTCCTATTTCCTACACATATTGCCGAAATTGTTTCAGCTTTTCGACATAATATTTTGGCTTATGTCGAAACAGTGTCGAAACTAACCAAAACAGTTTCGGCCACAGATATGGTTCTTCCATCTTTACTCTTTCTATTCTTTTACGTTCTTCCACCTCTATTAGCTTTGTTCTCTTATGTAATTCCAGTTCTATTCTCTCTATTCTCTTATGCTGTTCCATTTCCTCCTCTATTCTCTCTATTCTGTTACGTTCTTCCATCCCTATTCCCTCTATTCTCTTATGCTCTTCCAACTCTACTCTCTTTATTCTCTTATGCTCTTCAAACTCTATTCTCTTTTTTCTCTTATGTACTTCTATGCTCTCTAACCTCTTATGTTCTTCAAATTCTATTCTCTTTATTCTCTTATGTTCTTCAAACTCTATTCTCTTTTTTCTCTTATGTTCTTCAAATTCCTTTCTTCTCTTATGTTCTTCAAATTCCATTCTTTTTAATCTCTTATGTTCTTCAAACTCTATTTTCTTTATTCCCTTATGTTCTTCCATATGGGGTTTTTGCTTTGAAAATAATCCTATGGGATACAGTACTTACTATGTCCTATAAGGCCATTTTCAAGGCAAAGACATCATATACTCTACTCTCTCAATTTTGTTATGTTCTTCCACCTCTATTCCTTTATATTCTTCCAACTCTATTATCATTATTCTCTTATGTTCTTCCAACACTATTCTCTTATGTTCTTCCAACCCTATTCTCTTATGTTCTTCAAACTTTATTCTCTTTATTCTCCTATGTTCTTCCAACTTTATTCTCTTTATTCTCTTATGTTCTTTCATTTGCTTGTGAAAATCAGGAAGGTAATTTATGTTTAAATTCTATTTAACGTACTACAACGATTTATTTTTTAATGTTATTATACTTATATTATTTAAATATATTTCATTAAAGGAGAAAGAAAGGAATGTATTATATGTACCGAAGATGTTAACATGATAGCCTTTTTAAATATTACAGTCCAATGTAATCATGATCGTAGAATTTGTCGTGAATTTGTTGGAACATATATCAAGCACGAACTTGAAGATAATGGAAATGTTAGAATTTCATGTCCAGTAGATGGTTGTGCTGAAATATTAGATCAGTTGGATGTAAAAAAATTCGCAAATGAAGAATCATTTAGACGGTATGCTTATTGGAATATATATGAATTAATCTTCACTTTTCTTTGAAAATAAAAATACATTTATACCTTTATTACAGGTATGAAAGATTTACACTAAGGCTTGCATTATCCAAAATTTCTACCTTTCATTGGTGTCTAAACCCAAATTGTGAATCAGGACAAGATCATTATTATGGAGGTAAATTATATAAACATCTAATTAATAGTCATTCTTTTCAATACTATTACACTTAAATTTATTTCCTTAAAGACAAACTTCCTATAATGACCTGTAATTCATGCGGGCAAAAATCATGTGTTGTGCACGGACATCCGATTGACACTGCGTGTAAAGAATGCACACAACTACTGGAAGATGAAGTTAATCGGCAAGAGGAAGAACATAGGTTAGCAACTCTTCGAAATGCTGAGAGTGCATCCGAAGCCTATGTGAGTCAATTAAAACAATGTCCAAGTTGTGAGAGTAAAATTGAAAAAAATGAAGGATGTGATCACATGACATGTAGATGTCATTATCAATTTTGCTGGGCGTACGTATAAAATATTTAATTTTCATTCAACATACGTATTACATTTCTAGTAACTATAGAAATTTTTTATTCAGTTGCATGGGCGAATGGAATACATCACATGCTTCTAGTTGTGCGTTTAATGTTGGAGCCTAGTTATAAAGTTTCTAAGTGGCAGATTTGTACAATAGGTTTACTGATAATACTAGTTTCATCGATAACAAATAAATGAATAAACTAAAACAAGTCGCAAAAATTACTTCTCAGAGATTTAATATAAATCGAAAAATGTTGTCGAAATACGCCAGAATATTTCATTTTCAAACACCTTCTTAATTACATTATGTTAGGCATATTGTAGTTAAAATCGTTTTTACAGTATTTTTATCAAACATTACTTGTAAATTGAGAAATTCCTTCTTTTACACTATAATACTTTTGCCACTGAGCGAGCTGTTACAATTGATGCAACTTTACATGTTATTAAAAAATTTTCTATACCCTTGTAACGAATGATACCGATATTAAAAGAAGGTAAACCACCTGTAACAAGTGTTTAAAAAAATCTTTAATTTATTATTTATATTATTTCTGTAAATTAATTGATATTTTCATTCCATATTTATAAAGTTGCAGATTTTAGTACACAAGCTGTGATAAATACTATATTATATAATTCTTTTCCAAATGATTCAATTATTAGAAAAGAGATTCAAAAAAATTACATGATAGTGAAGAAAAAATATTGAGATAAAATTTTAACACTGGCTAAATTCATGTTAAATTTTCCTTTGAGAGAAAAAGAGGTTTAATACATACATTACTTTTCAGCATCCAGTTTCAATTTAATCATTATTTTTTATTCCAAGTAGATTAATATAAATGATAGCTATTGTACAATATTGACATAGCAACTTACACTAGTAGCCCCTATGAAATTAGTACTAAATCAATTACACATTTTTTAATTTTATTTTTAATTACTTTATTAGGAATGTGTGATATTGATCCGGCAGATAGAAACAAGGGCTTTATTTGCGGAGGTTATTGTGCAGTGGGAGTTTCATTGATTATCGATAGTGACGCCCCAATTTTCTGGTAGATTTTAACCAGAAAATGAAAAAACATTGTTGTTAAGAGACAGGGTGATTTTCTGGTAAAATTGATTGTTTTTAAGCTTTACATTTTTTATATTTCCGTATTGTATTTAATTTCATCTTTCTAAACATAAAAATAATAGCCAAGTTCTCTTCAGCTGAAGTAACGCAAATCCATTTAACTGGCCCTTTGGGATTGGATATTCTTCACAAGAAGATAGTGCAAAAGTCGCATCATTGATAAAACCTCCTTTTCGTATAGATAGTGTAATGTGTAAATATTATTTATAGTATTCTATCGAAGTGTACGACATACGCACGAATTTTAAGAATCATACATATGATTTTTGTAAGCATATTTTAATGAGTACTGTAAGTACGTATATCTAGATAATCATTTTAATTAAAATATAGAAAAGTGTGTTTAGTTCTTAAAAAATCCTGTTATTATAATAAAATAGAATTAAATAAGAAAAAAAAACGATTTAAAAACTTTAATCTATTATCGTTGTCTAAACCCCTAAAATTAACCTGTATATTCTTATAATAAATTGCTATCCATCACGAGTGTCATGTACATTTTTACTAATCATTTTTCATGTAAAATAAGTGTCACGGACTACCGTGTACTTCTTTGACTTTTCTATCGGTCTTTACTCGCTTGGCTAATTTGTTCGATGACCGTGTATCGTACAGGTCCTTCCACCCTCATCCTTTTCAACTCCAATTCCGTTTTGATAATAATTTCCAATAAGGATTGGAATTTTCAGAGATAAAGTTAAAATGATTAAACTCCCCCGATTATATGTATTCACACAGATAACACAGTTTATTCACTAACGTCAAAGTAATTACGAGAACGAAGCTCAAAGTTATCCAAGCTTAGTATTTTCCCATTTAGGATCGATACCTTTTTTTAATTACTAATCGCTATTTTGAGTCACTAATTATTACATACTTCTCATCGCTCATGCAATCGCTATTATTACTAATCGATAATGATTACTACATTGTTAATGCAATCACTAATTTAACTTTTAATAAATTCCGTACAACCCCAAATCACGCCATTCATGCAAATCCCGATCATGATCCCTGACTCTTGCGCTACGAATACCCGGGGCACCAAAGTCGACCACGACAATAAGCTACAACTTACATTCGAATTATCAATTTATTTTAACGTTAAAAATAAGAGTTACATGACTATGAGAGTAAATCTGATTATCCTCTAAGGCGTATAAAAGGTCAGTGATGGTCATAAATTTGAATATTTTTATGCCATTTACTGGTAACCAAATTCGTACACCAAGAGTATAAAATATATAAAATACCCAATAGCAAATCGTACGGAATGGTTTTCAAAATAGGCATTTTAGAAATTACAGAAGATCTGAATAGTTGAATGACCAAATTATATGGTAAGAGGATGTAAATACTTATTTTAAAAGAGTATATACCTTTTGGGTACGGTACAGTACAAAGTATCCGGTAGGGTACGGTACAGAAAAGTGACCGTACCCAGATAAATTTTTTTGAGCAGGGTACACAAAAAAAATAATAATTACCGTACCAAGTTTTTTTATTTTGGTGTTAGGTACGCAAAAAAAAATATATACTTAATGAAAAAGTTTACCGTACCCAAATCTAATATTAACAATTTGGGTACGGTATGAAAAAAAAATAGGTAATATAAAAAAAAAGTGTACCGTACCCAAGGTTATGTATCAGTCACACGTAAAATTTTATCATATGATTTTTGTAGATCATATAAATTGACGAAGTAGCATTTTAAAAAATTAGCACAAGTTTTAAATATAATAAATAATACTCATTAAAAACAAAACGTTGCTGAGGTTTTTGCAAATCAAATGGTATAAATAGCATAAGAAACTAACAACTACTTACGAAGTTAAATGTCTTCAAAGATGGGCGACCATTTTGCCTTCGTAAGCTAGATTAGTTGTCAGTTTGCAAGATACCGGCTTGAAAAGTATTTTATTAGTTGCGCCTAAGTGAGGGCTTTCTGCAAACCTTTACCTTCAGGTACTAGTACATTATGAACGTGGGAAGTAAAATCAAGAGGAACTGTTCTGTGATATATAGATCACATTAATTGCTTGCGATTTCATTAGAATTTCTTTACTAACATTTTTACTAATAAAAAATTTACCCACATGATCTGTGTGACAAATCGTGTTACTGGTATATACTTTTAGGTACGGTACAAAAAGGTTTGTAATAGATTTCAATAAAGATATAAATAATTACCGGTATACAATTAATTTTGTTTAATATGATGTAATTAAATATTTATATGTAGATATATAACTATTTTATGTAATATAATATAATTAGATATTTATTTTTATTTATTATTTATTTAAATTTATATATTTTTTTTACATATAATACATAATTATTTTTTAATGTAATATAAAATTAGATATTTTTATAACTAAATATATAAACTAATTAAATTAAAAAATTGTAAAATTAAATAAAATTAATAATATTATTAATATAACCATAAAATTATATATATTTAATAATCTAATTAAATATAAATTTTTTTATTAAGGATAATTTTAATGCTCACCAGAGATGAAATTCACTGGTGGTACTGTATCTCAAAAATGTACTAAGTAATTAAAGTCAGGGAGTCTAAGTAAAATGTTCAAGACTCCTGAAAACCTCACAAAAACTGAAATCAGGACTTATATCTAATCTACATTATGTTATATGAAACTCCTCTTTTATTCTAAAACTGCACCCTAACACTAAAAACTCTTAGAATGGTGAATTTTACCACTGGTGAATATTAAATAAATTCTTTTATTAACTATATTTTAAATTAAATATTAAATATATTCAAATAATAGTACTAATCATATATTGATATAATTTTAATATTAAAACTTTATATATATTCTAAATTATAATCTTTAAACAAAAAAATACACAATACATTTTTAACTATTAACTGTACTATACTGTACTCAAAAGAATAATTTTTTTATAAAGTATACAAATTTTAAATCTAGTATATATTTAAAAGATTAACTATACCATACCTAGATAATAAATATTTTTATTAGGTACAGTTTTTAAATTAATATATATTATATTTTGTACCTACTAGGTACACAAAAATTACTAGATACATATAGGTACACTAGAAATATATTGTACTTTACCCAAGACCCAAAACTGTACTATACCAAAAAAAATACTATCTAAAAAAAAACAATTTATAAAAACACTATTATAGCCCATGCTAGACACAGTTGTAAAAATAATTTAAAAATCTTGTATATCTCTATTGTAAAGCTTTACCTTATCATTAAGTCTTTTTCGACTTTACTGTCTGGTTTGGGTTAATTTGTTAACCAAAGCACCGATTAGTTTGTCACGTGGTGTAGGTACATCATTGTCAAAACAATCCTGTGTTTATGTTCTACTTTGTTTATCTAAAAATGAAAAGTGTAAACAATGCCAATCTTTTGAAGAGGATAAGTTGAATTGTTTACTTTTGTCAAAAATTTTGGTAAGGTCGGCAAAAGGTAGTAGAGGTAAAAAAAAACCACTAGTTCCAAACCAAAAAAGTGTGTATACTTTTCTTGCAAAGTATATCAGAGACTTGTTGATCGAGTGAAGAGCAGGTACTTAAAGAACGTTAAAGAGTAAGTGATAAACTCTAAGCTTGTCAACAAGTAGCGTATGAAAACTATTTCTAAATGACAAGTATTCCCATTACAATAGTAAATGATAAACTCTGAACCTGTTAGCAGGTAGCTAAGGTTTGAAACAAGGTAAAAAATTAGGCATGCTTTTTTTATATAGAAAATTAGTGCTTTATATTATATACTTATTTTACAGTATTTAGTATTTTTTTTTGGTTTGCATTTGAATTATCATAACTTCTATTATACTATAAAAATTCTGTTATTGGTTTAATTAAAATGTTATATAAGAGTTATTGTAATTTCTACCATAGTTTAATATAAAAAAATTTTGTTACCAGAATTATAGTAATTTATTGTGAATTATTATAAAAAATTTTCTAGTGACATATAAATTACAGAATTAGACTTGTCTAAATTAAAATTTGTTGCCACAATAACTTATCTAAAACAGTGATTACTAGCCAGTATATAAAGTTTATAGTAATTAAAATGTTAAAAAATTTACAACTCTAATGATCTCAACTTCTAACATGCTGGCAAATCAGATATGATACATATATCACATGACTAGAGCATACCTAATAGTTAAGTGGCATGCTTATAGACATGCCCCTGAGGCATGCCTATGCCTCTGTGTCTCGAACTCTACAGGTAGTGTATGAGAACTATCTCTAAATAACAGATGCTGTAGTTTCTCAACTTATCTTACTTATTACTTTTTTTAACTAGTTGTAATATATTTATTAAAAAAAGTTTTTTAAAAAAATTTAGAAAAAATGATTGTTAGAAAAAGTGTTTTGAAAATTAATTACTTATTTAATAATTGTTTTTAAAGTATTAAAATTAATTACTTATTTTTTTTTTTTTTTTTTTTTTTTTTTTTTTTAATTCGGCAGTCTTGCCTTAACTGTTTATTATTAGTACTCTAAGGTATTACGGTTACA